ATTTCGATTTGGTTGAATCAGAAGCTATTACAATCAATATGTTGGCATATGTATTAGGTATGTATATGTTTTATTAATGACTCATCTGAGTATTCGAGTTTTCATTTCACAAATTTAATTTCATTAACACACTTTTATCAATATGCATATAAATAAGTTGGATAGATTTTGGACGCCAAGTATTGTCAGATATAAAAACTCTTTTATTGATTCCAGTTAAAATGTTCAAATTTTTAAATTTGCATCATATCGTAATTTGAATGATACTAACCGAGGATACGATAATGATATTACTGTGGTTTAATTTAAAATAAATAAAATAATGAGTAGAAAAAGATAATAATTTACCTGTTGTTGATTGCTGTTGATTTACTAACTTGTTGATTAGTGGAAACGAGTAATAAGCCACGACGATTACGTAATATGCAAAGTAATAAAAAGTTAAGAGAGGATAATAAAAATATAGGCAAAATAATTGTTGTAGCAGCATTTATTGTTACACTAATATCGATGAAATTACGATACAGTGCGGAATAAGGATTTGTTCGATTCCAAAACCAACGCCTGAAATTAGGAATTTTTAGTTTAATTTGAAGTTAATTAAATTAACCAAAATATAAATTTTATAATGAAATGCTGAAATTATTTCAACCTTTCTTTCGATATAACATTTTAATGTTCATTGATTAATGCAAGAATATACTTTCTAAATATATTTTTTCTAACAATAAATAGCACACGTACTTGTTCTAATTTTTTCAAAGCAACAATTAATGACAAGTGAAGTTTTTCTCTAAATAATTCTTTAAAGTAATGTTGAGAATTGAAACAAGTATTTCATAAAAATGAAGCAAATGATAAACAATGCTAAATTTTTGAATATTTTGATAATAAAATGATTTTTGAAAAAAACTAAACAAACCCATCATTATTAATTGGAAGGCATTTGGAATAAATTTGAGTTCGATGACAAAAATTACGCATAAAGCATTTGTATTGGAAATGCTGATAAAAATTAACGATTCCGGTAGTTGTTGCGATTACAGTAATTAACAGCGGTGTACGGTATTTATTGCAATCAGTTTTAGCATGCAGTGGTTTTTTAATACCAGTTAAACGATCTCTACATACAGCTACCACTAACCTAAAAATTAATTTGATTTAAGTTTAGAATTTGAACAGTTAATTTTAAAAAAGTGAAAATGTAAAATAAAATAAAGTAAAAGATAAAGTTCTGGAAATTTATTATTATTAGCAAAATTATTCAATTATTTATTTTGTCATTTTGTGAATTATTCTAATTTCGCAAAAATTGGAAGAACGAAATAACAAACCAAATTGCTGCACTGGAAACCCAATTAGTAAATGATAACAAATGAATTTTAATATGAAAATAGATGAAACGATAGGTGTAATTATAGGTGAATATCGGATAAGTGGCCAAAATATTGGGTAAAAGAAGTAGTAGAAATATAATATCAGCTATTGCTAATGCTGCCAAGAAAATATTAGACCTAAAATTTTATCATAAGTTCTTTAATACTATTTTAAAATTACATTTTGAAAAATAATATTCACATTTCAGCACTCTTTAAAAGAGACTAAACTTTTAAAAAGGCTAAAAAATTATTTTATGCAATTTTTACCTTATCCAAATTTGATCTGGATAGTTCATTTTTATTTTGAACTGCAATCATTGATTTTTTTTTAAGCTAATTTTATATTTAATAGCTATATTTTATTTTATCCATATTTTTTATCAAATTGAAACGAAATATAATAACACTGTTAACGTACAAATCTAATTAATTAAAAATTTATCATATACAAATGTATGAAAATTATTTAATAATTAATTTCTATTATGTTTATTCTGCAAATTATTAAAAATTTTTCTTCACAAATAAAATTTCTTACAAGCATAAAAAATTTAAATTAAAATTTACAAAAAAAAAAGAAAGTGCATAACCTGCTACGCATCGAACGATTAAGCAATACAGTAAGATTTAATACGTTTCCCGTAACGCCAAGTATTACAATACATGGATAGAGGAATCGTTGCAGATACTTTTCCACTTCATTTCCATATAATTGCATTTGTCGATTTGTTAAGCAAATATTTGTTCCATTCTTCCACATATCAAAAAGCAAAACAAAAAACAAAAAAATAAATAAATAAATAAATATGACAAAAAAAAATAAACAAATAAATGTTCAGGAAATAAAAACAACATTGACAAAATTTTTCTCTACAAGTGTTCCAATTTGTTTCATAATGCCAGAAATATCCATCATTTAAAATTGAATAATATCAAAAGTTAATTATTAGTGTTGCATAAAATTAATTCAGTGATGCTGGTAAGAATTTTTTGAGAACTTCTGCAAAATATTTTTTTTTGGAATATCAAATGAATTGGAATGAATCATTAAATTAATGATTGATATTATTTTCTAATTGAATTCTTGAAATACGCTAATGTCGTTTCAAAACACAGACATTAAAATGGGATATGGAAAAAGATTGTGAAAAAAAAGCTAAACTTTTCTAATACAAGAACCAAAAAAATGTTAAATTTGAGTGATAAACTA